CTTTCTCCTGCGTGATTTCTACAATGTCCTTCATGTACTTCCTTCATCACATATTCTGTTTGGGAAGGTCTGAGACACCTTGCTAATGGCCCACCGAACATCTGTCGATAAAGAATTCCTTGATGTAAACAGTAACAAGCAGCTTTTTGCGAAGTGCATAAGCTTTTCTTTTGTCAGCAGGCACGGTTTCGCGCTGTAAAAAAGCAATAATTTTGTTTCTCCAATCTAATGTTAAATGATTAAAATTTACCTCGTTCTTATCAGGTTCGAGAACGGAATGAAATAAATGCACGACTGAAGCATTTGTGTCATTTGCTACATCTGCTGCAGATGCGAGATTAGCTAAAGTATCTGCCTCCACATTCTCATCTCTTGGGATCTGCATTACCTTCCAAGTTTGGAATTGCTTTATTAGTTCTCGTACCTTTTCGAGATATTCTTGCATTCGTATCTCCCTGGCTGTATAAGTCCCCAACATTTGATTGACCACGAGTTGAGAATCACTCTTGATTATAATCTATGTTATGCCGAGTTCTCGTGCCAATTCTAGACCTGCAATTACAGCCTGATACTCTGCTTCATTGTTAGTTATAGAATGACATTTATAGACTGTCTAATAGTCTCACCCGTAGGTGGTACGAGAACTATCCCTAGGCCTGCTCCTTTTACATTAGACGAACCATCAGTGAATAAAATCCAAGTCCCCGGGTTTGCACCATTAAAAACTTGTAATTCTTTTTCTGCTTCTAAATGCATCCCCTGGTTAAAATCAGCTACGAAATCGCCTAATACTTGAGATTTTATAGCAGTCCTAGATTGATAAATGATTTCGTATTCACTTAATTCTATAGCCCATTTTGCTAACCTTCCTGACAATTCATGCTTATGCAAAATGTTTCGTAATGGAAAAACAGTAACTACAACAATGCGATGACATTGAAAATAAGGTCTTAATTTTCTAGATGCCATGATCAAAGCTAATGCTAATTTTTCTAGTTGTGGATATCGTGTTTCAGCATCTAATAAAGACTTGCTTACATAATAGATAGGAGATTGTTTACCTTGGTCCTCACGGACTAAAACAACACTTACCGCAACTTCTGACACGGCCAAATAGATGAGTAGCTTTTCTCCTTCTTTTGGTTTTGCCAATAGTGGTGGATTTGACAAGTAAGCTTTTAAATTTCTAAGGGCTTTTTGGCAATCTTCGTTCCATTCAAAATGATCTTGCTTTTTGAGTGCGGAGAAAAATTTAAAACATTTTTCTGAAGATTTGGGAATAAATCTCCCCAAAGCTACAATTTTTCCTGTTAGCCTTTGGACTTCTTTTTTACTCGTAAGGATATCAGGGATCTCCTCTATTGCTTTGATCTGAGAAGGATTTACCTCAATACCACGATTAGAAACGAGAAAACCCAAAAATTTGCCTAAGGCAACCCCAAATGCACATTTTTCTGGATTGAGTTTCATATTAAATTTTCGTAAAATTTCAAATGTAACAGATAAATGAGAAATATGATCACGAGAATGCTTGGTTTTGACGAGCATAATATCTATATATACCTCCATGGTTTTTCCTAAATGTTCTTGGAACATTTTGGTGACCAACCTTTGATAGGTTGCTCCAGCATTTTTGAGACCAAAGGGCATTACTTTATAACAGTAAGTCCCCCTGTCTGTGATGAAAGAAGTTTTTTCTTTATCACTGGGGTCCATTTTAATTTGGTTGTACCCTGAATATGCATCTAAAAAACTCAAAAGTTCATGCCCTGCAGTTGCATCAATTAACTGATCTATATGCGGTAAAGGGAAAAAATCTTTTGGGCAGGCTTTGTTAAAATCTGTATAATCCACGCAAACCCGCCACTTACCGTTTTTCTTAGGTACAACAACTGTGTTTGCTAACCAATTAGGATACTTTACCTCGTGGATTGACCCAATTTTCAATAGCTTTTGGACCTCATCTTGAATCACCTGATTTTTGAAAGCTCCTTGCTTTCTTTTCTTTTGCTTTACTGGTGTGAAGGATGAGTTTTCATTTAGTTTGTGAGTCATCACATCCGGTGGTATCCCTGTCATATCAGCATGGGACCAAGAAAAACAATCCACATTAGCTTTTAAAAATTCAATCAAAATACCTCGCATGTCTGAGCTTAGATTGGCTCCAACATAAACCTTCCGTTCAGGCCACTGCTCAAATAATATCACAGTCTCGAGCTCTTCAATTGTTGTTTTGACATTTTCATTCTCTTCAGGTTGTTGAATTGTATCAGGTCTCGAGTCTAAATATGTCTTTTCTTATTCAGTTGAGGTTTGATCCTTGATACCTTCAACTATTTCCTGTAATTGCTATTTCTCTTTATTCACGGTGCTCATATCTGTTACAGCGTTGATACTTCTGTCTGTCTGCTGATCCCCACGAATTAGGCAAATTCCCCACGGTGATAGGAATTTAATAACTTGATGTAGAGTTGATGGGAGAGCATCCATATCATGAATCCAAGGTCTCCCCATGATCATATTGTAAGCCATTTCCATATCTACTACCTGAAATTTAGTTTTTTTAACAACACCTGCAGCAAAAATTGTTAGAATTACCTCTCATTTTATTACCACACTTGAATTGTCGAACCTGGACAAGGTATGAGCCTTAGGTATCATTTTGTCTTCAGCTTGCATTTCACGTAATACTCTTAATAGTATAATATTTATGGAACTTCCTGGATCAATCAAAACTCGTTTTACATTAGTATCATGCACAAGTAAAGATATTACCAGTGCGTTATTATGTGGGGTCATTACTCCTTCGGTATCTGCATCATCGAAAGAAATACTTTCGTTTTCTAAAACATGTCGTAGCCGTTTCCCGTGTGTTATCATTACTTTAGAAACCTTGTTGGAAGCCGTATATATTACACCGTGAATATCTTCTCCCCCACTTATAACGTTCACGGTTCTCTTGGGTGAAGGAGGCTTTGGTGGCTCTTGCCTATTTTTCATATAGGCTTGCTTACCTTTCTCACTAAATAACTCAGTGAGATACCCCTGTTTCAATAGATGATCCACTTCACTTTGTAAGAATCTACATTCTGAAGTTTTATGCCCGTGATCATTATGGAATTCGCACAAATGGTCTGGATTGCGCCTATTTGGATTTGACCGCATCTTTTTTGGCCATCGTACCTTATCTCCCATGCTCCTCAAAATAGCTACGAGCTCGGAGGTAGTGACATTAAAGTTATATCCACCGAACCTTGCCTTTAAACTTCTGTCATCATCTCGTGACTCTTGTTTGTTTCGGTCATGTTTGAACCTTGATGAAGAGCCAAATTCCTTGTTCCTCGATTTTTGATCATATCGTTGACTATCCTGCTTTGACCGTGAGTCATTCCTTGCAAGACCCATGTATCGATCGTACATGTTTTTACCTGATCTTTTTTATGTTTCTGATCTCCTCGATTTGCTCCTTTCTTCATGATGAAACTGAGGTACGGTATCTTCCTCAATTCGCAACTTCGTACTATACCTGTTATAAACGTCATTCCACGTGGTTGCAGGGAACACTCGAAGGCTTTCTCTAAGTCCTCTCGTGGTTTCTGAACTTTTGTCATTTAAGTTGCTTGCAAAAGCTATTGCAGCCCAGTTATCAGGTACACGAGGCAAAGTCATCCTCTCACATTGGAATCTATCAACAAAATCTCTAAGCAACTCTGTGTCCCCTTGTTTAACTTTGAAAATGTCTTCCATTCTTTTTTCAACCTTTTGAGCTCCTGAGTGTGCTTTAATAAAAGAATCTGCAAGCTCAGCAAAAGAGTTTACAGAATTTTCAGGTAAAAGAGAATACCAGGTTAATGCACCCTTGGTGAGTGTTTCTCCAAATTTCTTGACCAACACTGATTCAATTTCTTGCTTGGTCAAGTCGTTGCCTTTTACACCTGTAGTAAATGCAGTTACGTGATCACGTGGGTCTGTTGTGCCATCATATTTCGAGATATCAGGCATTTTGAACTTTTTAGGGATTGGAAGGGGAGCGACACTTGGTTTCCAAGGTTGTTGTGAGTATTTATCCACATCCACTTCTTTGATTATAGGGGGAACTCCAGGGATTTGCTCGATGCACTCATTCTGTTCCTTAAGCTGTTTCTGCAAAGTTAGTATTAAATTTTGCAAATGAGAATTATTTGAATTACCTGGTTCTCCTTCCTGTGGTTCACTGGGGGTTCCTCCAGAATTAACAAGGCCAGAACGAGGATTCTCCAATGTATTATTATTAGGTGTAGGTGTGGGTGGTGCAACAGGTAATCGACTAACTAGAGCCTGAAGAGCTTTGCTAACCCGTGCATCAATTACTTTTTGTAAAGCTTCATCTGCCCCTTCAAAATGTTCAGATTGCTCTTGTTGATCAACACGAGATTCAGGAGCAGGAGTGCCTTCGTGAGATTGATGTGGTGAATTTTGGGGGGAGGGAACCACGTCAATGTTCTGTAAATCTCCTTGATTTTGATGGATTTAATTTTCATGGTTTCCCAAGGTGTTTTCACTGTTATTGTTGTTGTTGTTGTTATTGTTGTTTGACATGATGATAACAACGGATAGAATGTAGGTTAAAAGAAAAGATTATCAGTTTCTCGGTAACAGAACCAATTTGTTTAACCAAAAATCTGAGTCTTTGGTCAAAGCTAGAAATAAAGAGAAATTCGGGTTACTGATAATCTGGAAACGAAAATAATAGAAGATTCCTGAGAATAAGTAGTTTTGTATTTCAGTGTAATCTCAATAATATTTCGTGTCTACAGATGTTGAGTCCTTCTCCTTTTATAGTTGATTCTAGGAGAAAATGTAATGCCTTTGTCTTAATGATGCAATTATGAGCAATAAATGACATTAAAAGAAACATTACACAATCATTTCTATTTAATTCAAATATTCTAACGTATTTGATATTTAATGTTGTATCAAGACTCTTTTACGTCATCAGATTCATATCTTCAACTTCTTCCGATCTTCGGTCTTTAAATGACTCGAATAGGTACGAGACTCGTACCTATTTGAGTAACGGTCCACACCTATGTTGTTTTCTTCCCCCTATTTGTTGTCTCCCGTGCCTCTTGGCTATTTATTGCGTTTTGACCTTTTGACCAGTCCACGTGTCATGACACGTAATCTTCAATATTCAGACTCAGTTTTTTCCCAATACAAGCAGGTCCATTGTTATCCCTTGATTCATATGATTTATCCCTGCAATCACACGTAGATAATTCAACCTATTTGTTAGTAATTCGTCCAAGTTTAAATGGATTAGGTTATGATCTGTCAGTTGACTTGATTCAATGGGTTGAAACTCGAAATGACACATCAAATTATTTGTTTAAAATGGATTAAAGAGTGTAACTCAACGGGTCAAAGTGCAACACAAACCAATACAAAATCTTATTTAGAGACAAAAAATTAGTATGTAGATTTGGAATGACTTGAGCTTCCAGATAAACTTGGGATGCAAATAAGTTTTTACCAGTAAAATTTTGCTGCTGCTAAGGAGCAAATCTACTTGTAGTTGGGTTGTAATGGATATTAGTTTGATGTGGTGTAGCTTGTAACTTTGTACAATTCAAATGAGCATCAAAACCACAAGTTTGGCATCTATAAAGCCAATGATTGGTTCCAACATTCTTGCAAATATCACTACAGGATGATTTATCAGGATAAGGAGGCGAAAATTTAAGGTCAAGCTGGTGATGATGAGACCAGTGAGTGATACATAATGGGAAAATGGCACATAGTATGTGAAGTTCAGTACCACAAGTTTTGCAGTGGTAAGAGAAGCCATCTCCTATTTCCCCACATGCATCACAGTTGAAATTGCCTTCAGGATAAATGGGTTTTTGGAGGAGAATGAAATGGTGTTCTTTGTCAAATGGATGAGTGATTTGCTGAGGCATTTGGCTACATTCAGTATGGAGGAAAAAATTGCAAGATCTGCATGTGTAGATTGATCCAGTGGCTTGAATCTTGCAGCCTGAACATAGCTGTGAGGAAGATGAAACAAATTTTTGATTAGTGATTAGCTCTAAAGGGTGAGGGTGACTGAAATGATTTATTGTGTTCTTGGATTGTTGAGGTTCCACCTTCACCTTTCCCATCTCCAACTACCTCTCTCTCTCAAATTTGGAAGTGTAGCTTTAGGTACTTTGATATTTAATCAATTTTGGCAAGTGAAATAATCGCTATGTGTAACTTAAATCCTTTACGACTGTAAAAACTAAATGATTTGTTTATTTTCAGTTATGCACAACTTGTTCACCAAATAAGAAAAGGCAAGGGACAGAATTTGTGGGGGAGATTAAGAATATTAAATGAAATTGTTTGCTAGTATGATACCCAAGTCAAGGTCCATATAACGCGGTTTAGGAGGAAAAATGTCAAAATATTTACTAGGTGAATTCATGAGGGGATGTGCTGCGTAGACTTCAGAAATTAAAACTAGCTAGGTTAGCGGAATTAAAGATTTATTTTATTTTATTTTTTCATTTTAGAATGGCTATTCGATTTCCATGAGACCTAAAGGGTTCAATCAGCTATCTTGAAAATTTGCATAGCAATGTCTGCCAAAGGTTAAGACGGAAGAGGATATAATTTCAAATTTTCGTAAACAGTAAGCACTTGGTGTATAAAAGAGAGGAAATTTGATCACATAAAGCACCGAGCAGAAATAGACAAAATACAAAGAATTTCATCTTGGGACATCGAAAGCTGCATCTACAGATGTTTTTGCATAATAAACAGGATTACTAATATACTTCAAAGTCCTCAAATTCGGCCAGGAATATAGACCTTTCATTTCCAAGACTTGCAAAAAAGGCTAGTCCTTTTTAAGTTGCCTGTTATTTAAAAGATAAATGGGTTAATTGTCACGACCCAAAAAAAAACACTAGTCGTGATAACACCTAATTCGAGCCACCAAAGCCAACTAACAGAAAATACAATCCAAACGAGATTATAGGAAGTTAGTAAAGAATTATCTGAACATTTATAAATTAACCCAAGAATTGGAAGTACAATTCATGAGCCTCTAAGACTTGGAGTTAATAAAGCTGGTACAAATATTTTTACAATTTGTTTGAAAATTTACATGACAGATTAGCAAAAACCTAAGCTACCAAGGACAAGTGACAGCTATATCCGGAACGCACGAACATCTTCAGAGTCAGCACCCGACATCACCATCAGCTCTGCTCCAAATATTTGCACGCAATATGTAGAAATGTAGTATCAGTACAACCGATACCTTGTACTGGTAAGTATCTTGTGTAACCTCGTCGAAGTAGTGACGAGGATTTTTAGTTAAAAGGTACTTACTAATAAAACCTGCACTGTAAATCAGCAATAGAACTATACCATAACATAATATAGAAGAATATACGAAATGGATACGCAAAACAATAACCGAGTGTTAACAAAGATCACAATTTGGCATCTTCTATTACCTCGACCACTCCCTTTTTTAGAATGAAACTAATAAACCACAACAGTCAATTCATAACTTTCATAGCATGAAGAATGTACTCAGATATCAAGTCAATTACACGACAATACCCTTTGTACTTTTATCTCATCCTCACCCAATATACGTATAACAATACCAACCGATAACAGGAATTACAAATTAGGAAATATGCAAGTAGCAATAATGAACGAAGATATACATATGGGCAACAGAAATAGACTAGGCAGAAGACATATGCGTAATGACAGCAATTAGAAAAATACGGAATATCTGCTTCAGCTAACTAGTATGGTGGAGGCCTAGGTACAAGCATAACAAATAAGAAAGGAACACATGATCTTTACAAATTAACAAGTAGAGACATGAATGACTATCATGGTGGAAGACTTATACTAAAGTGCAACAAAATAAATACGACATAAATGTAATTATAAGAGCAGGAAATATGCATGATATTTGCAAGTTAAGTAAGTAGAATATATGAGCAACAAAACAACAGCTAAGACAGAGATAAGTGACAAAGCAATAGCAACAAGTCACATCAGCTCTGTAATTACGAAAATGACAGCTCAAGTTAAAGACAGGAACATGTACACGGGAAAACAGATATCACAACCTAATGCATGTGTTGATATCCAATTTTTTTCTATATATTTTATAAACATACATACTTTCAAAATAGTATATATATGCATATATAAGCATGCACAAGATTTTTATAATTTTTCTATAATTTTAAAAGCTTTAAAATAATTTAATTCTCCCCTTTTTACTTATAAAATTTCTAATAATTATTCTTCGAATTATTATTGTGGTAATTTAGCCATCTAAATCATATATTTATACCAGAATATTGCCTAACTCTTTTGTGCATTTTATAATTGCATTCATATTTTAAAGCCAATTTGCATATAATTGCAATATTAGCCCTATTAACGTACAATTACGTTTTATATGCATAAAATGATCTTCTATATTTTTTAAAATGTTAAATATCTATTTTAAATAATTTTAGTACACGAAATAATTTTTTTGAAATTATTTATTATAAGTTATATAGGGTTAAATTGACAATTTAAAACTTAGCCAAATTGTATTTAAATTTTAGCCTCAATTTAATCCAATTCCCCAGCCCAATTTTAGATTAAACCACCCGACCCAAGCCCTAAATACACCTACCCGACCCAGAACCCATCAGATCATGGCCGTTGATATGAAAGATCAACGGTCCGTATTTGTTCTTTCCTTTTTAATTCCAAACGACCCCGCAAACCTAATCACTTTTCCATATCCGCCGCCCTAAGATCCTTTCCTCTCTCAAAACACTCTCAACCTAACCCTAATCTTCAACCGCCGACCTCCCATATCCGGCGATCTCCGGTGACCTCTCATCGTCTCTTAAGCCTCCAATGGCTCCTCGCATGCCATGCTTGCCTTCTCTAAGGTCTTCAAGGGCCCAGGGCCATGCCGACTTTCATCTAAGGTTCGTCACCCGCCTGTTCTTGGCTACTCCAGTGTGATTTCAAGCAAAATCATGTTGTATTTGCTACAATCCTTGGGTTTCTAGACAGGTTTCTTCGTCTCTATATGGGTTCTTTCGAAACCCTAATTTCTTTTCCATACCTCCTAGATATGTATAGATCCAGGACGATTTGAGTTTGTTTCTTGAATGTTTTACACTGTCCTTGAGGTTCTTTACAAAAATCATGTGGTTTCAAGTGTTTTTCATCTTCTTCTGAAACTAGGGTTGAAACTTCTTTTAAAACCTTGTTTGACTAATTCTTTGTGTTTAAACTTCTATTTTTTGCACATTTTGATTGATTCTATGATTTTACTACATCTTTAACTCGTCTATGTTGAAAGCCCTAATTTTCTAGGTTTCTTAATTTGGTTCTGTGTATCAGCATGACTGACCGGTTCTCGTTTTTGAGTTTCTGTGACCATCTTGCCTTGAATATGTTTCTATTGAGTTTCTTAGCCTAACTTACATCGATTCTATGTGCCTGTGTTCATCTTGACTATTCAAGACTTGCCTCTCTCTCATCGAATCAGTATTGTTTAACTTTCATGCTTGCTAGAGTTATGTGTCGACCTCTGGTTATCCTTGTCTTACTTTATTTATTTGCTAAACACTAACTCATAACTCTCTCTTTGATTGATTTTGAGTTCCATGTTTCTTGGCTTGATTCGAAAACTTTCCTTTAGACCTTTGATTCTTCCTGTTTAAACTTGGCTTATTTGCTTATTCATGGGAACCTATGTTATTCTCCTTAAATCAGTATTATTTCGAGTCCTTGATTCACTGATTTGCTATATGTTGAGTCTCAATTATTTCCATATTCTGTAGCCTTATTTAGTTTTCTTACCTTATTTGGTTAACCGTGTTATTTGCTGATTCTTCACTAACTGTTTCCTTGTGTATTTACCCCCAATTGTCTATTTTGTATCTAATGCCTTGCTTGATTTTCTTTCCTTAAACATGTCCTACTCTTTACCGTTGGTTAATTACCCCTTAATTAAGGGAGTACTTGCATTGATTTGATTCTAATTAGTACATGGTTCCATAATTATTGCTGAACTTTGATTCTTGCCTTATTTTCTTCCTGTTTTCAAATTATAAGTACCCCGCTCTTTCATTAACACAACACACGAACATATTAGTTCAAAACTCTCTCTCTCTCACTCAAAGCTTTCTACTCTCTTTTGTGTTACTTACTACTGTTCTAAGTTAGCTGGCTGCAAGCCAAGTCTAACTATTGGATTCTCTTTCACTTTGTGTTTACTATCTTTTTACTGGTATGTTCTAATTTCAATTCAAGTCCCAAAACAATATGTTTCTCCTACTACTTCAATTTGTCATGTTTCTAGTATGCTTCTATCCATGGTTTTGTTGCTCAACCTGCAACTAACATGTCTACTTCACTGTCTTCTTTACTGTATGCTTCTGAATATACTCCATTAGGATTAGCCTGCTCATGAATCCCTTTCTAGTACACCCCAATGTGACTATGTTTCTCTGATTTCTGGCATGCACCTTTCTGTGTAAAGTAGTTGGCTATCCTAAGTTTGTTTGATTTTGTATTAACTCCGAAGTTCATGTTGTACCATAAAATCCCTTGAACCCCTTTCAAGGCTTCTCTGATTCTGTACCCATGTGCATCTGTGCTTACTATGTGCCCTATACTTACTCCAAACCCCCCATTACCCCTGAGTGAATGTGTGTACATGTTTGATTCCATGTATTGAAGTGTTGATGAACCTCTTCTGGTTCTGTATTTGGTTTGTTGATTGTTGATCACCTTACCCTTTTCAAAATTGGCTTATTTAATAACTCCCTATGTTGTTTTTTACAAAACTATTTCAAGAAAATCTCTTTTAACATTGTTTTCCTACTGAAACCCTTTCAAACTATGTCAAGCACTCTCACTCTACTCCTAAGTCCCTAGGTTCTGCCCCTTCCAGTGTGTGTATTACCTTGGGATCCTATTGAGATCCCTCTGAACTTTGGCACTGAGGCTGGCCCTTCCACAATACACTTACTCAATTTGGTTACCAAGTTTAGGTGTGAGCACTGCCCGAGATCCTTGAGATCCTTAGGGAACTCTGACACACCTAGATAATGATATTATCTATGAAAATGGCATTTGAGGCTATTGGAGGTTTGGGAAATCACTTGGGCCT